AGCTACTCTGGAGGCTGAGGCAGGAGGATCGCTTGAGCCGATCAGTTTGAGGTCGCTGTGAGCGAGGATGACGCCACGGCACTCTAGCCTGGGCAACACAGTGAGACTCTGTCTCAAAAAAAAAAAAAAAAAAAAAGAATGTCACAGATCTATTATCTATGGGAAGTTTTCATATGGACAATGGTATAAGGCCCATGTGATGAACTGCTGGTGACATTCAGAGCCAGACCAGTAATTCCACAGCAAACGCCACCCGTCTTTAAATACTTGATGTCTGTTTCTAAGTTTAAATATTTGTAGAATAAACTAATTAGAGCAGAAGCAGAAAAATACTAAAGTCTTTGAAACAGTTTTACTGTTTATGCTACTTTTCAAGATACGGATGTTCTGACATCTTTGAAATATTACAATTTTGGAAAATCTCACATACTACTGAGCATATTTTTACGTGCATATCTTTGGAGGGACTTAAGGAAAACAAACAAAAATGTTTTAAAAAATTAATTACCAAGCATAAAATGATGTATAGCCATGATGAAAGAAATAGTGGCTTATGAAATAAATTGATTTACTAAATAACTTTCTTTTTACATTTACTTAGGTTGCGAATTGGGCCTTCTTTGAGGACCATCACGCTAAAAAAAATTTCTATTGATTATCTCCATGCTGTAACCTAGATACAAAGAAACTTAGGTTGAAGACTTGCTTCATTTTACTTACAAGGATGAGTTAGGCTGGACAATTACTTTTCCTGGGATATTAGAAAAATAGCCATGGTGCTTTTTGTCTCTATTGTAGCACTTTTCATATTCTACCCTGGAAAACTGATTGCGTAAGTAACTTTCTTTCCCACAAAACTCTAAACTCCTTGAGGGCAACAATGTTAAGTTCTTTTAAAGAAATGTTCCCCACATGCTGCCTGCACTGTGTGTTGCATAGAATAGGGACTCAATAGATGATCAATGGAATGTATCCCACATCTTGGAGAAAAAGGAGGTTAACCCACAGTGGGTTGGCAAATTATGATCCTCAGTGATATTTGGCACTTTGGGGAGCTATTTATCATTGTCCTAAGGACAGTAATTTTCTCCTCTTTTATTTTTTTCTATGCTATTGTTGTCTTGCATCTTACTTTTTCCTGTCTCTTCCTTCCCAACTATGCCTTTGGCTGCCTGCATGATACAGCATCCACTGAACCCACAGAGTTTCCTAGGTCTGCAGGTGGCATTCCCTGGTGCGCAGGGAAATTCTGGGGCGGCCTTCCTATTCCACGATTCCATTTAGAACTTGATCACTGACCCTGTAGTGCTAAGGGAGGAAGTGAGTTTTTGCTATCTGCTCCCTGTGGTTATTCTATTTTAAATGCACTTTTAACATCAGCCATCAGGAAACAAGAAAGAGGGGACATAGAGATCAGTATGGATGGAAGGATGTGAGTTGTGGCAAAAGAAAGAAGAGCTACAGTGGACTAGAAAAAGCAGAAGAAAAAATTAAGACGAAAATCAGAAAGAGATTGAGAGTCTATTAACTTGTCAAATAATCATTAACGTAGGTTATTTCAGCCAAAATTGTCATTTTTGTCCAAATTCTTCCAGAACAGATAAATAATACACACAGCTTCCTCTAAATTTAGCTTTTAGTTTTTCACATAGATTTTATCTCATGAACACTGAATTGTAACCATTTTTATCCACATAGGAATGTGAAATAGTGCATATGTGTTATCCCACGTGACCCTGCAGACTCTTCTCACCCTGAAGCTTGAACCCCAGGAATATCATCTCTTGGTTTCTGGTAATATCCAGCACTACCCTTGTGTTCCGTCCAAGACAGCATGCAAATTCTGATGCCGATTCCTCCCTCATGAGACTTTTATTTATCTGCCCATGGACTCTTTGGATCCTGAAGAGCATCGAGCGGCTCTCTCAGTCCTTGCTGTTCAGGGGCTGGTCCACAGACCAGCAGCAGCAGCAGCTGCTGGGAGCTTGTTAGAAATGCAGATCTCAGGTCCTATTTGGCGCATCCCCACACTCGAGTCCGAGCAGCACTGCTCTAATTCGTGTGTGCAGTCAGCCCGTGGTAGCCGCGGGTTCTGCCTCCTTGGATTCAATCAACTGAGGACTAAAAAAGTGGTTAGGCCTATGATGGGACTGTCTGTACCGAACATGTACGGGCTTTTTTTCCTTGTCATTATTCTCTAAACAAAATAGTGTAAAAACTACATAGCAGGTATATTGTATTAGGTATTATAAGTAATCTAGAGATGATTTAAAGTATATAGGAGAATGTGTGTAGGTTATACGCAAATACTACACCATGTTATATAAGGGACTTGAGCATCTGTAGATTTTGGTATCCGTGGGGGGGTCTTGGAACCAATCCCCTGAGGATACTGAGGGATGACTCTACTAATCTTACCTCTCCAACTAGACTCTATTCACTGAAGGAATAGGTTCCATACCACCCTGTTTTTCTTTGTTATCCCTCTTCTCTCTTTCCTTGTTCTCTGCCCAGAACCTAACATAGGGTTTCATATGGAACAGGTGCTTAATAAATGCTGACTGAGAATTATCCCCAGTTTAGACTTTTTACTACTGTAGTTTCCTGGCACTGTTCAGCCATTTTTCATTTGTTTCAATTTGCCACACTCTAGCTGCAGAAATATCCTGACTGCACTCATGTGTGGCATTAGGTGGTCTAGGACACTGGGTGCAGCCCATATCATTGGTGATAAAGTGAATTTGTTGACTCTTGGGATTTCATTGCTAGTGACTTGGTCTTGCCATTTAGTGTTGAGAATGGCTTATAAGGAATGTTGACATAATGGTTTAGAACAGGGATCACAAACTGCAGCCTGTAGGCCAAATCCAGCCTGCTGCCTATTTTTGTAAATAAAGTTTTAGTGGATTATAGCCACACCTATTTGTGTTTTTTTAAACAGGCTTAATTAACTTTCTTGTAATAAAAAGTTGCAGCCGCAAGACTCTGGTGTGGGTCTCGATAAGATGGTGAGTTCCTGATAGTGAGACTTAATGAATACAATCTCTTTCCACAGGTCAGAGGTCAGATGGCCGTAGGTCTTGGAGATGGCATCAAAGGTGGCCTTGGCCAAGTTGTCCAGGGTGGCAGTGCAGCCTCTGACTGAATAGCAGTCATCAATACCAGCCATCAGCAGCCATTTCTTGGGCACAGGGGTCAAGATGATGGCAGTGCCTCTGGAGGCAGGCATAAGGCACATCAGCACAGAGCCGCAGTGGCCTGTCACATTGCAAGGGACAGTGTGGGGCTTGCCAATCTTGTTCCTCCAGTAGCCTCTCCGCATGGGGACAACGGAGAGCTTGGTTAAGATGATGACCCCTCAGATGGCAGTGGCTCCCTCCTTGGAGCACTCAACACTCAGATCAACATAGCCATTGCAGTCCATGGTGAACCTGGTGGTTGCCTGGCTGGTGCAGGTCTGCTTTTGCACCAGCATGATTTTTAAGACTTCATCCTTGGGAGATGCCCCCAGGAAAAAGTCAATGATCCCAGACTCCTTGATGTGTAGGGAGAAGAGAGAGATCTCCTCCAGGGACTTGATCTTCATGTCATTGACTAGGCAGCCCAGCTTGATGATGAGCATCTACTTCTTGTTCTAGGCTTTGCCTCTGTGAGCTCTGTGGCCTTGGCATCAGCCCCAGCCTTAACCTCGGCCATGGCCAAAGCCTACGTGGAAGCCACCACGGCCTTCCATCCCAGGACTGCTGGGCCCTGGGCCCTCCCACTGCACTGGTGTCATCTGCCATTTGGTGTTTTTTCAGAGAAGTCACCCATTTGTTTATGTATTGTCTGTGGCTACTTTTCATCACAATAGCAAAATGTAATAGTTGCAACAGGTACCATGTGTCCCACAGAGTCTGAAATATTTACTATCTAACCCATTACAGAAACAAGTTTGCCAATCTCTGGTCTGGAAGCTATATTGAATGTAAATGTGGCAGGTGCAGTCCCCCAGGGTCACTGGAAATCATAAGGACCCTGTGAGAGGCAATTTTCAAATATGGCCTTCAGTGATCCCTGCCTTCTGGTGTTCATGGCCTGTGTAATCCCCTCCCCTTGAATACGGGATAGACCTAGTGACTTACTTCTAACAAATATATCATAGCAAAAGTGATGGGATGTCATTTCTGTGGTTAGGTTGCAAAAGACTGTGACTTCTGTCCCCCTACTATTGCCTTCTTGGCTTACATGCTTGCACGCTGCCATGTTGGAGGGGCCTGGGTGGCGAGACACTGGGGGCCACTTCTGACCAACAGCCAGCAAGGAGTTGAGGGCCTCAGTCAGTCCAGTAGCCCTTGGGGAACCGAGTCCTGCCAGTAACCATGTCAGTGGGCTTGGAAGCAGATTCTTCCACAGTCAAGTCTTGAGGTGACTACAGCCCCGGCTGACACCTTGAACGCCTGTGAGAAACCCTGAAATAAAGAACCCAGAGAAGTTGTACCAGATTCCTGACCCACAGAAACTGTGTGATAATAAGTGTTTATTTTAACCAAGTTTAGGGTGATTTGTTCTACAGCAATAGATAATTTATCCAGACCCTAAAATCATACTATAGATCTAGGCACACATTGCCAGTACATTTTTCAGTACCCAGGATATTTTCATGGACATTGAAACATGCTGGCCAGCATCTGAACCTCTTTCCTGATATGGAAAATCCTCTACTGTGGGCATCACTGGACCTTACCCCATTAGAGCAATATATTCTAAAGTTTTTCATGTCATACCATGCATAGAAAATGACAAGGTATGTGCAGTACTCCGAATGCATGAGACTGCTCACTGCTGGAAGGGACGAGCTCCGGGGACTCTTGCCACTCCAGGCTCACTCTGAGCTGGAGGTATCAGTAACTTAGTGTCTCTATAACCCAGTCATTGGATAAGCTGGGAATCTCTGCTGGTAGACCCTGGCATGGGCATGCAATCTTGGCTTGGTCAACTTTGAAACCTGAGTGGAAGGTATGAAGACTGGAGGTGAGACACATGAGAGTGCAGGTGGTGCGGTGGCATCTGGTGGTGATTTCTGTGACCAGGAGTAGGGCCCAGGCCAGTCCCTTTATGCTGCCTGCCCTCCTTTGATCGTTGTCTGTTTTCAGGGCTGGTTGTCCAGCCTTCTGGTCAATTCTGATAATCATCCAATGTCTTTCTAATAAGTTCCTTTTCTGCTTAAGAGAGCCAGAATTGGCTCCTATTGTTTGCTACCGAGAAACCCAGCAGATACAGATATAGAATATTGTAGCAGTACTTGGTAAAGACTGAAAACATATGTTGAAGAAGAGTGTAGATAAGTACATGACTAATGGATTTTTACCATTTATATCTTTTTGCAATTCTAATATTTTCATAATAAAAATTTGGTTTTAATTATATAATTGTCCATCATAGAAACATTTTATGATTTTCTTTCATGTCTTTTGGTAATGATTTTGGCAGTGCTATATGGCCTCTTTTCATTTAGCACATCATAATCATTTTTCCATGTCTTCAACACCGTATTTCTAGGAGGCCATAAAATATTTGTTTCGGGCTATGCCTGTGCAAGAAGGCTGGAGAGAGTGGGTCTAAAACTGGGCCTGAGATTCACTAAGTCAAGAGGAAGGGATGCCTTCTTTTAATTGGTTGGCTTCCTCTTTTGGCAATTCCACTGCCCAGAAGGGATGCCCTTTCTAAAAAAAAAAATTTGGCACAAATATGCTAAATGTGCTCCTGTAGCCCTAATTCCATTGAGTGGGGTATATGATAATTTTTTCCACTAGTCCCTTCATGTTGGGCATTTAATTCCTTCCATATTTCATCTACCACTAATATTTCCTGTTGAACATTTTTAGGCCTAAAGCACTTCTGCATTTAGATTTTGTTGCTTAGCTTTTATTTTTTGAATAGATAAGTCAAAAGGCATGAACTCCTTTATGTCTCTTTATAAATATCACCAAGTATGTAGCTCTCTAAAATCACATTATCAATGTTGTCTACCTCCTTCGGTATGAGAAAGTGCCCATTTCACAGCATTCTCGCCCACAAATGAAATCATTGGTTTCTTGAGGTTGCTGTTTGGAGAACAACCAGCCTCTCTTATAAAAAGCTTCCAACAAAATGTCAAACAATTCTATTCCCTCAACTGTTCCTAGGATATGGAAAGTTCTCGATGGTTTCTAAGTGTGCTGACAGAAAACATCTATCTTCATAAATAAATCCTTGATGACCATTTCAGGAAAGTTTAATGAAGCTTGAAGTCCATTTATTCTACCATGGCTATCCTATACTTAGAGCTTGGCTTACATTGGACTCATTCTCATTGTAATATAAATGAAAGTTTTAGAACAATGTAAGTATAGTGAAATCACCTGATTTAAAGTGTAATGGCTTGAAGAAAGTAATCAAACAATAGGTTAAAATTATTCAATATATTTTTATTAAAAAACAACAGGACATCTAGTTGGCTGGGTAATTGAGGGAGAAATTAGGCTAAATGACTGTTATTAGTTCTGGCCAGACATTGAGGACATTCGATTAAATCACCATTTACCTACCCTCTTCAAAACGAAGTAAATAATTCTCTCTTCAGCAAAGCATTCCTTGCTTATTTGACCAAACGATTACCATCATAGTATCTCTGGAAATAAACAAAATGTTAGAATTTATTTCATGTCATTTGCACGTGTAAAGCTTGATTTTGCCAGCTAGGGAAAGGATAAGCTAAACAAAGGGAAGTAGTGAAAACAAAATAGTAATATTACGATGGATCAGAGAGCAACACTTGGCGAGTTGTGCCAAATTAGTCGACCAAGCACTCTATTGGGAATTGCAAAGTCGGAAGTCCTATTTTTGACTCTGCTGACCTCAGTGAATATTTCCTTGTTTTAAAAATGGGCATAATTCTCTGCTACCTAAAAGGTCTGTTACGAAAATTAATGAGTCTACAAACTGTTTTGACGTCTCTAGAAGCCCTTTCTAAATACACACTATAATCTTGTGTTCATAGAGTTCCTGTTCCTGCTCTTTGAAGATGTGCCAATCTTAATTAGTGACATCTTCTACGACTGTAAGTTCACTGTGAGGCCTCATAAAATTAACCAATGAAATAGTCACTATTTCATTAGTTCATAGTGGGAGACTTTGCTTCAGAAATGGCTAGCACTGTCCACACGGGCAACGTTACGGTATAACATACCGAGAAGTAGGAAAAGCAGTGTTAATACGTTCCTCTTTGGAGGGAGGCGGCAAACGGAAAGGCGGACGGGGCGAGAGCTCGCAGCAGGGCCCTCGGAGAGAGCCCGGGGCACTCCGCAACTGCTCCCCTCGGCGCCCTGCGCCAGCTCCCGGAGCCCAGCCGCGCCGCCGCACGTCCGGGTCCGGAGGGTCCCCGAGCGCCCGTGGCCGGGCTCGCGGGCCTCAGCGGGGCTCGATTACTCTCGCCTGGACGCGGAGCTGCGCCTCGGCTTCGAGGAGCCCTACCGTGGGGAGGTGGGGCGACGACAACAAAAAGAAGTCAAGTGGGAGGAGATTCGCCCGCACGGGGGGCGGCGGCGGTGGCCGGTTCGTGGGAGGAGGCGGCGCCTGGGAAGGGCCCCGCAGCGCCGGGAGCTCCGCGCCTCTGCCGGCGAGCGGCTGGCGGGCCCGGGAGAGGCGCCTCCCCGCGCGCAGCACAGACCCCCGCGGCCCGCGCGCCCCCGCCCCTCGCGCCGCTCGCGCCGCTCTCGCGCCTCCGTCCCGCCCCCTCGCCTAGCGCCGCCCGCGCGCAGCGTCTCGCGCCGGCCCGGCCCGCCCGCCCGCCGGGAAACAGCCGCGAGAGCAGCGGCCGCCAGCGCGCCTTCCCCTCCCGCGCTCTCTCGTCGCCCCCGCCCTGGGCGCCTCGTCCCCGGGC